CCCCCCATCTTTCAACCCCCCTCCCCCATTTTTCCCCCTTCCCCCCATCTCCCCCCCATCCGTCCCATCTCCCCCCCATCGCTCCCCCCATTTCTCTCCCCTCTCCCATCTCCATCTCTCCCATCCCCCCATCCCTCCCACCTCCTCCATTTCTCCCCTCTCTCCCCCATCTCCATCCCCCCATCTCCCCCCCATCTTTCAACCCCCCTCCCCCATTTTTCCCCCTTCCCCCAATCTCCCCCCAATCTCCCCTCTTCCCTCCATCCCTCCCATTTCTCCCCTCTCCCATCTCTCCCCCCATCCCCCATCTCTCCCATCCCCCCCATTTCTCCCATCTCCCCCATTTCTCCCATCTCTATCTCTCCCCCATCCCTCCCATCTGTCCCCCCATCTGTCCCCCATTTCTCCCCTCTCCCCCCCTCTCCCCATCTCTCCCATCCCCCCCATTTCTCCCATCTCCCCCATTTCTCCCCTCTCCCATCTCTATCTCTCCCCCCATCCCTCCCATCTGTCCCCCATCTCTCTCCCATCTCCCCCATCCCTCCCACCTCCCCCATCCCTCCCACCTCCCCCATTTCTCCCCTCTCTCCCCCATCTCCATCCCCCCATCCTCCCATCTCCCCCCATCTTTCAACCCCCCTCCCCCATTTTTCCCCCTTCCCCCAATCTCCCCTCCCTCCCATCTCCCCCCATCTCCCATCTCCTCTCCTATCTCCCACCCCATCTCCTCCCCGTTCCCCTCCATCTCCCCCCCATCTCTCCCCCCCCATTTCCCCCCCTCCCCACCCCCAGCTCTCCCAGCTCTTTTTACGACCCCCTTAGGGTGGCTCTGAAAAGAGCCGTTGGGATTCTACGAAGGCTAAAAAACACGACGAGAGGGGGGCTGGAAACGGAGAAGGGGGGAGGGGGGGGGGGGGTGTCGGAATTCTTCACTTCCCCTTGTGGCCCTCGCTCTTTTTGGGCAGCAGCACAGCCTGGATGTTGGGCAGGACCCCCCCCTGCGCGATGGTGACTCCTCCCAGCAGTTTATTCAACTCCTCGTCGTTCCTCACCGCCAGCTGCAAATGCCGGGGGATGATCCTCGTTTTTTTGTTATCCCTCGCCGCGTTGCCGGCCAACTCCAAAATCTCAGCCGTCAAATATTCCATCACGGCCGCTAAATACACCGGAGCTCCGGCTCCCACCCGTTCCGCGTAATTCCCTTTACGAAGCAAACGATGAACTCGACCGACGGGGAATTGCAAACCGGCTCGCGATGATCGCGACTTGGCTTTCGATCGCGCTTTGCCGCCCTGCTTCCCTCGCCCGCTCATCGCCGCTCCGCCCCGCCGCCCGACTGCGACTCCCGCTTCCCCGCCCGCTCCGCCCTTTTATACCGTCGCCGCGGATGGAAGAGGCGCGATCCGATTGGCCGAGAGGATCGGAGTCGGGAGACGCGGCGCGCCAATAGCGGCGCGACGTTTGGGGAGGGGGCGGGGAGAGTAAGGGATGGCCAATCAGAGCGCGGGGCGGAGGTGATAAAAAGGGGGAGGAGGGCGGCGCGATTTCAGTTCGCCCTGCGGCGGCGCCGCGTCCGGGGCTCCGCGTTGTGTCGTTTTGAAGCGATTTTAAACGGTTTTCAGGCCGCTTTCTCTCATTTTTGATCAATTTTAACCAGTTTTGAGGCCGGCTTTTTCTAATTTTTAATCAACTTTAAGCGATTTTGGGGCCACTTTTCATTTTTAAACAGTTCTAACCAGTTTTGAGGCCGATTTCTCTCATTTTTAATCAATTTTTATCAGCTTTGAGGCCGGTTTGTGTCATTTTTAATCAATCTCAATCAGTTTTGAGGCCGGCTTCTCATTTTAAATCAATTTCTATCAGTTTTGAGGCCGTTTCTCTCATTTTAAATCAATTTTAACCAGTTTTGAGGCTGGTTTCTCTCATTTTTAATAAATTTTAACCAGTTTTGAGGCTGGTTTCTCTCATCTTTAATCAATTTTCAGTGATTTTGAAGCCGGTTTCTTTCGTTTTTAATCCATTTTAAGCGGTTTTGAGGCCATTTCCCCCCATTTTCCCCCTGCTTTTTAACTTCCAGGGCTGCTTTTCCCCCCCGATTCCAGCAGTAGCACTGAAATAAATGCATTAAGAACCTTAACCTGCATTTTTCCCCTATTCCTTTCCTTTCTTTACCATTCAAAACGATTCCTAGGCTCCCCCAATTCCCCACCATTGCAAAACCGAGGCAGAACGAAGCTTTTTCTTCCCCCCTTCCCCCCATTTTTACCTCCTTTCCCCCCCTTTTTCCTCCCCCTTCCCCCATTTTCCTCATTTCCCCCCTTTTTTTCCCCTCTTCCCCCCCTTTTACCTCTTTCCCCCCTTTTTTTCCTCCCCCTTTTCCCCCTTCCCTCCCTTTTCCCCTCTCTTTCCCTCCATTTTTACCTCCTTTCCCCCCTATTTTCCCCCTTTCCCAATTTTCTTTCAACATTTTCCCCTTTTATTTCCCCTTTTCCCCTCTTTTTTCCCCACCTTTTACCTCTTTTCCCCCTTTCCCCCCCCCCCTTTCCCCCTTTTTTCCTCCCCTTCCTCCCTATTTTCCCCTTTTCCCCCTTTTCTTTCTCCTTTTTCCCCTTCCTCCCATCTTTTACCTCTTTTTCCCCCTTTTTTCTCCCCCTTTTCCTCTCTTTTTCCCCCCTTTTCCTCTCTTTCCTACATTTTTACCTCCTTTCCCCCTTTTTTCCTCCACTTTCCCCCAATTTCCCCCTTTTACTTCCTCTTTTTCCCCTTTTCCCCTCTTTTTTCCCCACCTTTTACCTCTTTTCCCCCTTTTTTCCTCCTCTTTCCCCTTTTTCCCCCTTCACCCTTTTTTTCCTCCCCTTCCTCCCTATTTTCCCCTTTTCCCCCTTTTCTTTCTCCTTTTTCCCCTTCCCCCCATCTTCTACCTCTTTTTCCCCCTTTTTTCTCCCCCTTTTCCTCTTTTTTCCCCCCTTTTCCCCTCTTCCCTACATTTTAACCTCCTTTCCCCCTTTTTTCCCCCACTTTCCCCCAATTTCCCCCTTTTACTTCCTCTTTTTCCCCTTTTATTTCCCTTTTTCCCCGCTATCCCCCCCCCTTTTACCTTCCCCCCCTTTTTCCTCCCCTTTTCCCCTTTTCCCCCTTTTCTTTCTCCTTTTTCCCCTTCCCCCCATCTTTTACCTCTTTTTCCCCCTTTTTTCCTCCCCCTTTTCCTCTCTTTCCCCCCCTTTTCCCCTCTATTTCCCCCATTTTTACCTCCTTTCCCCCCCTTTTTCCTCCCCCTTTCCCCCTTTATTCCCCTTCCTCCCCTATTTTCCTGCTTTCCCCTTTTTTATTTCCCCTTTTCCCCTCTTTTTCCCTTTCTTCCTTTCCTTCTTTCCTTTCCTTCCTTCTTTCCTCCTTTCCTTCTTTCTTTCCTTCCTCCCTCCCTTCCTCCCTTTCTTCTTCCCTTCCTTCCTCCTCCTTTCCTTCCTCCTTTACTTCCTCCTTCTTTCTTTCCTTCCTTCCTTTCCTTCTTTCTTCCTTTTTTCCCTCCTCCATTCCTTCCTCCTTTACTTCCTCCTCCTTCCTTCCTCCCCTTTTCCCCCTTTATTCCCCTTCCTCCCCTATTTTCCTGCTTTCCCCTTTTTTATTTCCCCTTTTCCCCTCTTTTTCCCTTTCTTCCTTTCCTTTCCTTCTTTCCTTCCTTCCTTTCCTTCCTTTCTTCTTTCCTTCCTTCTTTCCGCCTTCCTCCTTTTCTTCTTTCTTTCCTTCCTCCCTCCCTTCCTTCCTTTCTTCTTCCCTTCCTTCCTTCCTCCTTCTTTCCTTTCTTCCTTCTTTCCTTCCTCCTTTCCCTCCTCCTTTTCTTCCTCCTTTACTTCCCCCTTCTTTCTTTCCTTCCTTCCTTTCCTTCTTTCCTTTCTTCCTTTTTTCCCTCCTCCTATCCTTCCTCCACTCCTTCCTCCTTTACTTCCTCCTTCTTTCTTCCTTCCTTCTTTCCTCCTTTCCTTCTTTCTTTCTTCCCTTCGTTCCTTCTTCCTCTCCTCCCCTTCCCTTCCCCTTCCCTTCCCCTTCCCTTCCCCTTCCCTTCCCCTTCCCTTCCCTTTCCTCTTTCCTCCTTTCCTTCTTTCTTTCCTTCCTCCCTCCCTTCCTCCCTTTCTTCTTCCCTTCCTCCTCCTTTCCTTTCTTCCTCCTTTCCTTCCTCCTTTCTTTCCTTCCTTCCTTTCCTCCCTTCCTTTCCTCCTTTCCTTTCTTCCTCCTTTCCTTCCTCCTTTCTTCCCTTCCTCCTTTACTTCCTCCTTCTTTCCTTCTTTTCTCCATTTCCTCTTTCTTTCCCATTTTTCCTTTTCGTCTCCTTGTTCTTTTCCTCCCTTTTTTCTTTCTTCCCCCCTCCCCTCCCTTTTTCTCTTACCGTTTTTATCCCCCCCTTTTTAAATCTCTTTCCCTCTATTCTCTCTCCATCCTCCCCTCCTTTCTTCCCCCTTTTCCTTTCCTTTTCTCCCTTTTCTCCCCGCTCCGTTTCCCCTTTTCTCTCTTCCCACCTCTTTTCCCCCCTTTTTCCCCTCCCTTTTCTTCCTCATTGCCCTTTTCCATCATTCAGACGCTTCCCAAAGCTCACTTAACTCCATTTTTAATTAAATTTAGATCTCATAAAAGGGCAGAAACGACTTCTTCCCTCCTTTTCTCCCCCCTTCGCCCCCTTTTCCCCCATTTCTCCCCCCATTTTTCCCTTAACCCGCTTCCCACCAACGCCGTTTTCCCTCTCCCTCAGCCGCAGCGTTTTCTTCCCTGTTGTTTTTAATTAACTCCATCCTCCCTTAAATCGCTCATTAATTACACGCCGCTCTCCCATTCCTCGCCGTTGACCCACAAGCTCCGCCCCTCGCTTCCAGACACCGCGCGGTGATTGGTCGCGCCGCGAGTCTGCCGCCTTCCCATTGGTCCGCGAGGCAGCGGGAGGCGGGGCATCTGTGCGCGCGGGGATGGAAAGGCGGGAAAAGGGGCGGTTCTCACTCCGGTCCGCCCCTCTGCGTATATAAGAGCGCTCCGCCCACCGCTGCGCTCAGTGCGGGGGGCGGGCGGGGCTTGGAGCGGAGCCCCTCGCGTTGCGTTTCAGCGCCGCGTCCGGAACGCGGCGCCTTTTTCAACCTCAAAATTCTCCGAAAACCTTAAAAAACCAACCGACCAAACAAACAAAACCCTCCCGAAAAATTACCGCCCTCAACCCGGCGCTGGGCCGTTCGCTTCGTGCTTTTGCTTCTTTTCTGTGCGCGCGGAGGCGGCGCTTCCCCTCAACGCTTCGGAGCGGAAGACAAAAAATAACCAGCATCGAAACCTTCAAACGACGGGAGATGAGAAAAGCAGGATTTCACCCCAAAAAAGGAAGTCGCGGAGCTCTTCAGGACCCGCCCGGCAGCCTCAGGTAAGAGCCCGGATAGCTCAGTCGGCAGAGCATCAGACTTTTAATCTGAGGGTCCAGGGTTCAAGTCCCTGTTCGGGCGGAAGTGCTTCTTTTTTTTCCCACCCCCTCGTCCTCCCCACGCTCGAATCGTTCCCTTCAATTCCCCCCAGTTCCCTCCCCCTCCCCCCCCCCCCCCATTTTTTCCCCTTTCTCGCCGCTCGGGGGCGGCGTTGTGTGGAGTCCCGCGGCGCTGCCCGCCCGGGCGGTCCCATGGTGTAATGGTTAGCACTCTGGACTCTGAATCCAGCGATCCGAGTTCAAATCTCGGTGGGACCTGAAGGGCCTTCCCTTTTTTTTTTTTTTCTCCCCTCCTTTTCCTCCCTTCTTTCGTTCTCTCTCCCCCTCCCTTCTCTCTTTCTTTCTTTCTCTCCCCCCTTCTTCCTCCCTTCCTTCCTTCTTTTCCTTTCTCTCCCCCCTCCTTTCTCTCCCCCCTCCTTTCTCTCCCCCCTCCTTTCTCTCCCCCCTTCCCTCCCTTCCTCCTCACTTTCTCTCTTTCGTTCCTCCCCCCTTGTCTTTCATTCCTTCTCCCCCCATCCCTTGTTTCTTTCTTTTCTTCTCCCCCATCTCCCCCCCCTTCTCTCTCCCCCCCCTTCTCTCTCCCCCCCCCTTCTCTCTCCCCCCCCCTTCTCTCTCCCCCCCCCTTCTCTCTCCCCCCCCCTTCTCTCTCCCCCCCCCTTCTCTCTCCCCCCCCCCTTCTCTCTCCCCCCCCCCTTCTCTCTCCCCCCCCCTTCTCTCTCCCCCCCCCCCTTCTCTCTCCCCCCCCCTTCTCTCTCCCCCCCCCTTCTCTCTCCCCCCCCCTTCTCTCTCCCCCCCCCTTCTCTCTCCCCCCCCCTTCTCTCTCCCCCCCCCTTCTCTCTCCCCCCCCCTTCTCTCTCCCCCCCCCCCTTCTCTCTCCCCCCCCCCTTCTCTCTCCCCCCCCCCTTCTCTCTCCCCCCCCCTTTTCTCTCTCCCCCCCCTTTTCTCTCTCCCCCCCCTTTTCTCTCTCCCCCCCCTTTTCTCTCTCCCCCCCCTTTTCTCTCTCCCCCCCCCTTTCTCTCTCCCCCCCCCCTTTCTCTCCCCCCCCCTTTTCTCTCTCTCCCCCCCCCTTTCTCTCTCTCCCCCCCCCTTTTCTCTCTCTCCCCCCCCCTTTTCTCTCTCTCCCCCCCCCTTTTCTCTCTCCCCCCCCCCTTTTCTCTCCCCCCCCCCCTTTCTCTCCCCCCCCCCCTTTCTCTCCCCCCCCCCCCTTTCTCTCCCCCCCCCCCTTTCTCTCCCCCCCCCCCTTTCTCTCCCCCCCCCCTTTCTCTCCCCCCCCCCTTTCTCTCCCCCCCCCCTTTCTCTCCCCCCCCCCCTTTCTCTCCCCCCCCCCTTTCTCTCCCCCCCCCCCTTTCTCTCCCCCCCCCCCTTTCTCTCCCCCCCCCCCCTTTCTCTCCCCCCCCCCCTTTCTCTCCCCCCCCCCCCTTTCTCTCCCCCCCCCCTTTCTCTCCCCCCCCCCCCTTTCTCTCCCCCCCCCCCTTTCTCTCCCCCCCCCCTTTCTCTCCCCCCCCCCTTTCTCTCCCCCCCCCCCTTTCTCTCCCCCCCCCCTTTCTCTCCCCCCCCCCTTTCTCTCCCCCCCCCCTTTCTCTCCCCCCCCCCTTTCTCTCCCCCCCCCCTTTCTCTCCCCCCCCCTTTCTCTCCCCCCCCTTTCTCTCCCCCCCCCCTTTCTCTCCCCCCCCCTTTCTCTCCCCCCCCCCTTTCTCTCCCCCCCCCCTTTCTCTCCCCCCCCCCTTTCTCTCCCCCCCCCTTTCTCTCCCCCCCCCCTTCTCTCCCCCCCCCCTTCTCTCTCCCCCCCCCCTTCTCTCTCCCCCCCCCCTTCTCTCTCCCCCCCCCCTTTCTCTCCCCCCCCCCTTCTCTCTCCCCCCCCCCTTTCTCTCCCCCCCCCCTTTCTCTCCCCCCCCCCTTTCTCTCCCCCCCCCCTTTCTCTCCCCCCCCCCTTCTCTCTCCCCCCCCCCTTTCTCTCCCCCCCCCCTTTCTCTCCCCCCCCCTTCTCTCTCCCCCCCCCCTCTCTCCCCCCCCCCCCTCTCTCCCCCCCCCTTCTCTCTCCCCCCCCCTTTCTCTCTCCCCCCCCCCTTCTCTCTCCCCCCCCCTTCTCTCTCCCCCCCCCCCTTTCTCTCTCCCCCCCCCCTTTCTCTCTCCCCCCCCCCTTTCTCTCTCCCCCCCCCTTTTCTCTCTCTCCCCCCCCCTTTTCTTCTCTCCCCCCCCCCTTTTCTCTCCCCCCCCCCTTTTCTCTCTCCCCCCCCCCCTTTTCTCTCCCCCCCCCCCCTTTTCTCTCCCCCCCCCCTTTTCTCTCTTCTGTTCCTCCTCCCTTGTCTTTCGTTCCTTCTCCCCCCATCCCTTTTTTCTTTCTTTTCTTCTCCCCCTTCTCCCCTCCTCCCCTCTTCTCTCCTCCACCCCCACTTGCTTTCCTTTTATCCCCTCCCCCTTCTCTCTCTTTCCCTTTTGCTCCTCCCCCCTTCCTGCTCCATCCAAAAACGAGTTCTTCTGGTTCCACAGCTTTCCTGGCTTGGTGAGACTCTTGCCAGCATCTCTTCCTGCTTGGAGCCAACCAGCAGAGACGTGGCCCATTTTTCTCACAACTATCCGTGTCGGGTTGAGGCCGGGTTCCTCGATGCCGTAGAGGAGATGGGGTTGGTCTTCTGGAGAAGGATTTTCTGCCCCCTGTGATGTCCTGCAATGGAAAGAATGGGGTTTTTTTTGGCCTTGGTTGTGTCGTCTTTGGGGCAAGAAGATTTGCCCCCAGTCTGGGGTACCAGCAGTGACCCAAGGGGGTTTTTATCTGCTTGATGGAAACCTCAACGCTCCTCTGCAGCAGCAATGATGAACAGGACCGTGAGCACCTCTGTCACTGAGCATCCATGCTAACCCAGGTCCCAAACTTCATCTCCAGGCTGGAACCTATGGGAGAAGAAACCTCCGGCCCCTCATGGGCCAGCAACAAGCTGCAGCTTGCAGGAGCTGAACCAAGAGATGGGAATTTCCTCCTCTTGCTCAGGGATGAGGAGCTCTGATGCCATTTCCCACACCGAGGGCTCCGAGTCCCGCGTCTGAGCTCTTGGCTGATGTCTGTCTTTGGGAAGAGAACGCTGGGCGTCACCGGGTGCCCCCCGTTTTTGCTGTCTTGGATGTGCAGGTTGTCATTTATCAGGTAGGTTCGAATGCGAATAAAGCTGTGGATTGAACTGCGACTGAAGTCACTCCCATCTCAGGGGCTTTAGCTCTAAAATTGCCTTCTTCCCCCAACCTCTGCTCAGACGATCCGCTGTTTCCTGGGGATTTTTTTCCTAGAAGGCTGTATTCTCAGCCCGCATGACTTCCCCTTTTCTGTTTTAAGCTTCCTCCTCCGCTCCCTGCGCCACACAAACCCCGTCGGGTGGCCCAAACCCTCCTCCCCTCTCTCCCCTCCTCTTTCCCGTGCTCCAAAAGAGAAATAATTTCAGGAAATGATCCCTAAATCCGCCCATGAATCCCCCAGATCCCTTTTCCAGCCATTTTGGTCTTCTGGGAGCGTGATGAAGACAGGCTGAAGGGTCAGGGGTACCAAAAGAAGGCGGTGCTGAAGAGAGGAAGGCAGAAATGAATGAATGTCACGCTGCTCTGTCTGAGCTGCACTGAAATTCCACGCGTTCCCTTTTGCCTTTTAACCCTTCGTCTCTTTAATCTCGTTCGGCGTCGTGCCTAAACTGGGAACTAAGGAGGGAAATCCTCAGCGGCTCAGGTTTGTCAGGGAGGAGGAGGAGAAGAAACAAAGAGTCAGTGAGAGGGATGGGAACCGGATTGATGGTCTTGTTTTGAGGGGTGAAAGCGTCGGCCCGCAGCGCTGGAGAAGGGATGGGGGTTGAGAGTCAGCTGGAGGAGGCGGTCCTGAATCAGCAAAGAGCAAGGATGGGCCATCATGAAGATGATGAAGATGATGAAGATGATGATGATGACCCTCAGGCGTCCCTTGTGCCTGCTGGCTTAGCAGTTCACCTCCCCAAGGTCCCAAACAAGCGAGTTCACGACGGCAGCTCGGCCGAAAACCGAGTCTGGAGCCAAAACTCTCTCTCAAAACGCTGCCGGAGTTTGGGCGCCCCGAGCACAGCACGGAAAAGTGCAGGATGTGCTTCCTGTTGGTCCTTTCCAGCATCCCTTCCTCCCGTCCTGTCCTCTGCAGCGCTCAGCTGGGTGCAGAGCCGTTGACCGCAGCCCTCAGGCCGCAGCTTTTCCAACCGATTCCTCCTCCCCGATGCTCACATCGACCTCTCTCCCATTTTGAGATGAGGCTGTGGTGGTGAAACCTTGCCCAGGACGTTGTGGAAGCCCAGGATGGTGACATCAGTTGCCTTCGGATGACATCGGTTACCCTCAAGCGCTCATCTCTAAACCCCCATCTCTAAATTCTTCCTTGAGCACCAGAAATTCGGTCGCAGACCGGTTGAGAATCCTCAAATCCTCCCGATCCACCCCAAAACCCAGCCACCGTTTAGGAAGGACTGCAAACTGTTCTGATTTATGCCAATAATCCCAGCACATCTTCTGTGGGGTGCCATAGTTTGTAGCAATCCGACGCAACAGACTGCGGTCTGTCCCTCCGTCTGTCCCTCCGTCTGTCCCTCCGTCTGTCCCTCCGTCTGTCCCTGCATCTTAGTCCTCAGCATGTGACAAATGCCTGTCGGGGGTCACTGTGCCCACAGAGCTCCCTGCTGCTGTCCCCCAGTGGGGATGGTGGAGGAAAACACAGCGGGGACAGAGCGTGGTCCCCAACATTTGGTGGTGACAGCAGGCTGGACGCGTTGGGGACCCTCGTGTGATGTCCAGTGTGGGACAAAGCGTTGGAGCCACGTCCTCTCCTCTCCTCTCCTCTCCTCTCCTCTCCTCTCCTCTCCTCTCCTCTCCTCTCCTCTCCTCTCCTCTCCTCTCCTCTCCTCTCCTCTCCTCTCCTCTCCTCTCCTCTCCTCTCCTCTCCTCTCCTCTCCTCTCCTCTCCTCTCCTCTCCTCTCCTCTCCCCTCCCCTCTCCTCTCCTCTCCTCTCCTCTCCTCTCCTCTCCTCTCCCCTCCCCTCCTCTCCTCTCCTCTCCTCTCCTCTCCTCTCCTCTCCTCTCCTCCCCTCCCCTCTCCTCTCCTCTCCTCTCCTCCATCTTAATCTTCCCATCCATGCTGCCTGTGGCATGGCATGGGGGCACCTCACAAGGCAGAGCTTTGGGGACAGCCTGTGACACTCGAGGGGTGACATCCAGCGTGTGGCATCATAAGGAGGATGGTTTGCAGCTCAGCGACCCCATCAGGAACCCAGAGGTGTCACCACAAATAGGGGGGAGATTTGTCACGCTGTGGTGACGTCGCGTCGTCCCGTCCCCAAGGGGAAAATGAGTGGCCAGCTGCCACCCCGCGACCCCAGACCGCCCGTCCCCCCTGCTGCCCCCCAAGCCCCCCGTTATCCACACCACTGAATTCCTGTGCTGATGGGCCTCCCCTTGTGCCTCGTTTTTGGGGACAGAACTCAAATGCCCCCCCCTCGGGACTCCCTGATGTCCTCTTTTCAACCCCAAGTGACCTCGTCTTCCCCAAATCCACCGGTCCCAATTTCCCCCCGGTGACCCCAAAGGCTTCACGCCAAATCCTTTCCTGCTCAGCTCCAATCCCAAAGCGCTTCTTCGATCCTGCCAACATTTGAACGCGCCTTCAGTCCCCCAAACGCTCCCCAATCCAACCCAAAACGCCGCCGCCGTTTCTGCTCTCTTCCAACCCTCCCCTCTTCTGCAGACACCAAGAATTTCCCTACCTTCCACCTCCTGCAGCTGCACCATGGATCCCCTGTAGGTCCCCCATCATCCTCTGCCTCCCATTCCACCCCACTTTCATCTTTGGGCATCGACCAATTCCTTTGCGCATCACTTGCTTTGCAGAAGTTCACGCGCCTGTCTGATTATCGCTCCTGTTATTTCTCCATTTTTGGCCTCAGTAAATAGATTTCTTTTTTTTCCCCGCCGATGGTTTCTTCCTCTTTTTCTCCGCTCCCCACCCCAAACTCACTGGGAGGGGGTCAGCGAGATCGAAAGCTGCGTGGTGCTGAGCTGCTGTGGTGTGACGGCACCGCAGTGCATCCGAGGGAGGACCCCACGGTGCCACCACTCACTGGGGAAGCTGTCAGATGAGGAGGTGGCACCCCGTCATCCTGTCCCCAAGGGGAAATGAGATGGCATTTCCGGCCGCTTCCTGTCCCCTACTGCAGCCTCGCTGTCCCCAAGGCTGCTCCTGCCTGATGGCAGCAATGGTTCTTGTCCTCATCCTGGGTGAGTGACGATGGGGACGTGGTGCCACGGGGGGGGTTGGTGGCCCTGTGTGACACCAGGACCGTGTCCCTCGCAGGTTGGTGGCTGGCGGCAGCGAGCGGAGCACAGCAATGTGAGTATGGGGGCAGGGGGAGAATGGGGAGAGAGGGAGGGCAGCGTGGGGAGGGGGCCATCAGAGGGGCCCAGGAGGGCGTGCAGGGACAAGGCTGACTGCTGTCCCCTGTCCCAGTGCCCCCACCCTCCCTGTCGCTGCACCCCAGCCACGGGGTGTCCCTGGGGGACGCTGTCACCCTGCGCTGCCACCTGCCCCCGGTGCAAGCCTGGGTCCAGCTCTGGTTGAATGGAACTCTCAGATGTGACAAGGAAAAAGACCAGGAGCAGGACGTGGCTGAGTTCTCCTTTGCTGTCGCCAACCTGGAGGACATGGGGACGTATCGGTGTCGGTACCAGGTGTCAGAGCCACTGTGGACCTCCGAGCTGAGCGACCCCGTGGAGCTGATGCTGGCAGGTGAGGGTTTGGGGCACGATGGTGCCTGGCTCCAATTTATAGGAGGGAGATGAGGTTCTTTATACCCGGCGTGAGATGAAGAAACAACGGTTCATGTGCTGTTCCATCCAGTTCATTACCAAACCTGATCAGGGAGATGGGGAAGGGAAGGAGGGCGATAGAAAAGCAGGAGTGGGGATGGTCAACAGCAGGATCCAGCAGCATCCTGTTGCACGGCGTTTGAAGGTCCAAAGCAGATGCAGCAGGGGGGGACGACGGGCGAGAAGCAGCAGCGTGGCCGGCCTTGGGCAGCAAGCAGGTAGGAAGTCGTGGAGCCAATCCTTCATCGGTGATGAAGGATGAAAGGTTTCTTTCCTGTCCCTCTAATCAGCTTCTCCCAAAATGCAGTGATGAAGGATGAAAGGTTTCTTTCCTGTCCCTCTAATCAGCTTCTCCCAAAATGCAGTGATGAAGGATGAAAGGTTTCTTTCCTGTCCCTCTAAACAGCTTCTCCCAAAATGCAGTGATGAAGGATGAAAGGTTTCTTTCCTGTCCCTCTAATCAGCTTCTCCCAAAATGCAGTGATGAAGGATGAAAGGTTTCTTTCCTGTCCCTCTAAACAGCTTCTCCCAAAACGCGGTGATGAAGGATGAAAGGTTTCTTTCCATGGGGAATCTGTTGATAGAAACCTCTGTTCTTCATGAGGAATCTGCTGATAGAAACCTCTGTTCTTCATGAGGAATCTGTTGATAGAAACCTCTGTTCTTCATGAGGAATCTGCTGATAGAAACCTCTGTTCTTTATGAGGAATCTGCTGATAGAAACCTCTGTTCTTCATGAGGCATCTGCTGATAGAAACCTCTGTTCTTTATGAGGAATCTGCTGATAGAAACCTCTGTTCTTCATGAGGCATCTGCTGATAGAAACCTCTGTTCTGCTTCATGGGGAATCTGCTGATAGAAACCTCTGTTCTTCATGGGGAATCTTGATAGAAACCTCTGTTCTTCATGAGGAATCTGCTGATAGAAACCTCTGTTCTTCATGAGGCATCTGCTGATAGAAACCTCTGTTCTTCATGGGGAATCTGTTGATAGAAACCTCTGTTCTTTATGAGGAATCTGTTGATAGAAACCTCTGTTCTTCATGAGGAATCTGCTGATAGAAACCTCTGTTCTTCATGGGGAATCTGCTGATAGAAACCTCTGTTCTTCATGAGGAATCTGCTGATAGAAACCTCTGTTCTTTATGAGGAATCTGCTGATAGAAACCTCTGTTCTTCATGAGGAATCTGCTGATAGAAACCTCTGTTCTGCTTCATGAGGAATCTGCTGATAGAAACCTCTGTTCTTCATGAAGAATCTGCTGATAGAAACCTCTGTTCTTCATGGGGAATCTGCTGATAGAAACCTCTGTTCTTCATGAGGAATCTTGATAGAAACCTCTGTTCTTCATGAGGAATCTGTTGATAGAAACCTCTGTTCTTCATGAGGAATCTTGATAGAAACCTCTGTTCTTCATGAGGAATCTGCTGATAGAAACCTCTGTTCTTCATAAGGAATCTGCTGATAGAAACCTCTGTTCTTCATGAAGAATCTGCTGATAGAAACCTCTGTTCTTCATGAGGAATCTGTTGATAGAAACCTCTGTTCTTCATAAGGAATCTGCTGATAGAAACCTCTGTTCTGCTTCATGAGGAATCTTGATAGAAACCTCTGTTCTTCATAAGGAATCTGCTGATAGAAACCTCTGTTCTTCATGAGGAATCTTGATAGAAACCTCTGTTCTTCATAAGGAATCTGCTGATAGAAACCTCTGTTGTGCTTCATGACGAATCTTGATACACAAAGCACCTCACAACCTTTGCCCAGGACTTTCCTGCCCTTGTTCATCAGTGTCCTTCAGGCATAGGATCCCACAGTCCTTACTTGGGATTTGAACAATCCCGTCGGTGCCCCCAGCAAGCTTTGAGACGCAGGCGTTAACAGAATGATCTCTTACCATTGGGTGGCTCTGAGCTTCTCCCATAGGATCAAATCCCATCCCTTCCCTTCCCTGCGCACAACTCGTAACTTCAGAGCCCCTCAGATCTCGCATCACCTATGAGAACGGGGGCCAAAAATCCACCCAGAGCTGGGAGGACGATTCTGGTTCCTTGTGACATCTGCCAAGCGCTGGGCGCTCAGCCCCCCGTCCAGCTCCAGGATCCCACTGATGGGCCGCAGCCACTTCTGTCTACTTAGGGATGAACTCAGCCTATTCTGGCACCCATAGGAGCTCCTGCCACCCCAAGGACAGCGTCAGAGAATCAATCTGAGACCCACATCTGGGTCCCTTGCCGGTGGCGACGTCACTGCGCCCCTGCCTTGCGCTGGGGGCACCCAAACACCCCAATCTCACAGGTGCTGAGGTGTCGTCCCGTGGGAACCTGGCGGCGTGGGGCTGCGCTGCCGCCCTCATCTTCGGCCTCAGCCTCTGCTTCATCCTGGATGCCTGGACGTGGAGAGATGAGAGCCCTGGTGAGGAAGGAGTTCCGAGTTTTCCATCCATACAACCCCACAAGCGGCCCCTCCCCGTCCTTTCATCCCCCATAGATCCCGTCTAGACCCTGCGTAACCCCCCAACCACCCCCCTCCTCTTTTTGATGCAGGTTTCACCCCCAGAATGAGCGAGCCCATGCACTTCCAGGTCAGTGCCTGACTCAGTGAACCCCAAAATCCCTCTTGGGGCCGAACATCACCATGGAAACCCAAATCTTCCCCACGGCGACCCCAAACGTCTCCCCGACATTTACC